GCCTGCAGGTAACCAGATTATTGACCAACGCCTGTGTCTGTTTTGTAATTTACAGGGCGGGAAATGGATTCTGGAAATGGACATTTTTTCCTAGTACGCAGTCTCTATGATCCTTGAGTCTTATTAAACCTTAATAATCTCTTAAGTAAAGAGAGCCATCTTTTAAGCAAAAAAAAAAGATTTAGAAAATATTAAAATATTTGAAATTCAGAATCAAACTGCCTAAGTAGTTGCTTTCCTGTAACCACACTCTGAGAAATGCAAAGGAGACACAATAAATTTGTCTTTATGGATGGCAGAATTTAGGACTTTATTAGCTATAAAAAAGAATATTTGCCTTGTTAGCAAGAGATCACTTCTGTCATAAGATTATTAAATCTCAAACATTAAGATTTAATTAGACATAAGATAACACCATTGAGTCAGTACCCTAGAAGTAAAATGAGGCAAATGGTACACGCCATTCCAACCAATATCTGGGCGAGATTTGTCAGGACTTCCAAAAGAAACTTTTAGGCAGACATAGTAGCTCATGCCAATAATCCTAGCACTTGCAAGTCTGAGGCAAGAGGATTGCTTTAAGTTTGAACTGCTACAGTGAGGCCCTATCTCTTAAGAAAACCAAGAGCCAGGCGATGGTGGCACACGCCTTTAATTCCAGCACGTGGGAGCCAGAGACATGTGGATCTGAGTTCAAGGCCGGCTTGGACTACAGAGGGAGTTTCAGGACAGCCAGGACTACCTAGAGAAACCCTGTCTCAAAGGAAGGAAAGCAGGAATGAGGGAGAGCGGGAGGGAGGGAGGGAGGGAGGGAGGGGAAGGGAGGGAGGGAGGGAGGGGGGAACAACACTTTTATAACAGAAACTATCAGGCCCCTATAGAGAATAGACAGGAAGGGAAGCAGCATGTACCCACAACCACTGTCAAGAATTATCACCACCAGGCTGTTCCCTGCCATACCTCACTGGGCTTGTCTTTGCCTCCCAGTATATCATGTCATCCATAAATACCTCTGGGTGGACCTAAAAAGATAAAGGCCACTTATAAAATCGGGAGCAGAGTCTGGTGCTTCAGTTAACCCAGTAGCTCCTCTGCCCGCCCCTTCAGTGACCACTGGCTGAAAAATGTTGTATACAATGTGAAGCAAAGTCTCAGAAAGGGCCTCAAGATTGCGAGTGCTTGGAGGGTCTCCCTGGCCCCCTCTTTGACGCTGGTAGTCATACTGGAACAGCCGCGTAATGCCTGTTGGCTGCCTCTGAGGGTCCTGTGTAAGAGGTTTTGATCCAAAGTTTAGATTTGGGTTGTTTTTTTGTTTGGTTGTTTTTTATTTTTCTGGATTTTGGAGTGATTTACTTAGAGTGAAACAGGTTGGCGATAAGACCAAGACTAAACTTGAAATCTATTTGTATTTCATACATACACTACACATATTGCCTGAAGGTAATTTGACAGAGTATTTTTCTGGTGTTTGTTGATGAAACAAATTTCAAGGATGTGGCATTTTCCGCGGGGGGGGGGAGGGCCCGGGGATGACATTTTGTAGACACACTCAGCAGTTTTCAGATTCAGGGGGTTTAGATGAAGAGCTCTTACGCTTACTCTTCTCTTCCCTCCCCCACACTGCTTTCAAGAGTCATACCCACACACCACTGATTTTTGAGACAAGGTCAGCCATAAGTTCACTGTTTAAGTTGGCCTTAAACTCCTGCCAGTCCTCCTGCCTCAGCCTCCCAAGTGCTAAGATTATGGGCATATACCTCCACACCCGGCACAGAAGATTTGTCTCTCTTCTTGTGACTTTCAGGGGGTTGCTGTCAAGTACCTGATATGACTTCTATTGTCTATAACAGGTTTGAGTTTGCTGAGCTTCGGGAATTTTCTAGTTTGTTGTTGACATTGTGGCTTCTGTAACCTAAATTTGGCCATTATATTTTCCCTTTTCCCTCCCACCCATTCTTTCTACACTCTAGGCATATTTTACTAGTTAATTTTATTAAGTTTCTAATGCTTTTGTCTCATCTCTGGTATGCTATTAAGTCTGTCCAATTTACTCTTACATTTCATATAGTATACTTTTTGGCTCTAGAATCTTCATTTTTGTTTCCTAAGTGTCTGTTTTGACAGTTCCTGTGTGCCCTTACTCATTGTGACTGTGATATCCCTGAAATGTTTATCGCTGCCTTAAATTCCTTTAAAGTCTCTTTAGCTAATCCCATCAGAATCAAAGAATCTGTTTCTGTTAGTGGCTTTTTAATAATAGACCATAACTTCTGTGTCTAGAAAAACTGTGTTGATACTAAACTTTACAGATAACACATTGTAGAGACTTTGGGTTTCGTTATATTCCTCTGAAGAGTATTGACTCTTATTCTTGCAGGCAGTTAATTTATTAGTGAGGCACTTTCTAGTACGTGGAGGCTAATTTACATTTCATTGTGGCAAAATCTGTCTCAGTTTTGCCTTTGGCCCTCAGCAAGGTCCCTTTGCACTGTAACACAGGATTTACTGCACTAACATGTGGCCATGCTGGGATAATGGACAGCCCGGGGTGTTGACAGAGCCTTTTAACTTAATGAGACTCCAATTCTGACCTGCTTCTCCACTCCAGTGGCCAGGAGCTGGGACTTCTCATATCATTCAGCTACACAACCACTGCTTTTGACTCTCCCCAGTGTGTGTATCGTTCTGGAGCCAGACAAGAATTTGAGTGAACATTAGCATGCTGGGTTAGTAGCTCTGCTCTCTGGTACCCTACCCTTGATGAGGCTTCCATGAGTTTCTGCCATTTGACTTTCTGTTCATCTTGAGACTCCTTGTGCTGCACCGAGGAGGGTACTCTTGAGGGAAAGCTGTATAGACAATGTCTTGCTCTGCGGAGGTCCCATCTTTTAAGAATAAAGCCCCTCATGTTTTTGTCTATTTGGGGGTCACTGGCCAGCATCATTACTTTTTGAGTGTATTGTATCCAGAATCTGTAAAGTCTATCATTGCCATTGGGGCTCCTCTTTCTCTTGCCAGATGAATGGCGACGGGGTTTAAACTCTTTACTGTCCCTTTCCTATCTGACCATATTGGCTGCATACCAGTGCTCAACAAAATACTGAGCTGTCTCTGATTCCTTTTCTAGTTGATCAGTAAGTACTCTGTTAGTGATTTAGATTATTAAGCAAGTATCCTATGAAATATGTCCCAATGAGTAAGGATTTTTTTTAATTGATGGCATCAGATCATACAGATACTTTCCCTTCCTCTAAGTCTTGTATGCCATATTCAGTATTTCTTTTTTTTAATTTATTTATACTATGTATGAGTGCTCTGCATGTATACCTGCAGGCCAGAAGAGGGCACCAGATCTCATTACAGATGGTTGTGAGCCACCATGTGGGTGCTGGGAATTGAACTGAGGACCTCTGGAAGAGCAGCCAGTGCTCTTAACTGCTGAGTCATCTCTCCAGCCCCCCCCCCCCGCATATTCAATATCTCTTTTGTTCAGTGCCTCATGTGATTAGGGAGATGTAGTCGAGTTTTATTTTCATGCTAACTCGGTATAAGCCTTAAGGGAGCCCCACCTCTTTCTCTGACTGCTGACCCTAGTGGAGGCCGGTTTCCCGGGATCTTCAGGCTCTTCACATAGACACAGGTGCTATCGTTGACATTGCTTTGACACTTAGGACCATGGGTAAGTCTGCGACCAGACTAGGGATTGGCAAAAGTACTCATTCTTCTACTGAGACGGCCCCAGGAACACAGCGTGGCCAGAGCATCCCAGGAGGATAGACGGGAGTTCATATGTTATCATGGGCAGACACCTTGTTGTTCTTTTGTAAAAGTTTAAAAATTAGAAAAAGGAAAGGCAAAGGCGTGAGATGGAACCAGCACAATGGAGCACAAGCCATGGAGAGCACATTAATTATAGTTTATTACAGTGGCGGCAGGAGAGCGAGAGGGGGGAGGCAGGCATGAGAAACGAAAAGAGGGAGAGAGGGGAGGAGGTAAGAGAGAGGGGCAGTGAAGAAAGAGAGGTAAGGGAGCATAAGTGGCCGGGTCTGTCTTTTAAAGGGGTCCTTTGCACCTGCGTGCAGACTGTACCCATGGAACTCTGGGTTGGCCAGCTTTCTAAGAGAACCCAGATCAACTGTGAGCGGGTCCATCCTCAGCCCAGCCCCACAACTACTTTAGTTCTGGAGCTGTATACACTTCCAGTGTTGCCCTCGGTAGCGTGTGAATTCAAAGTCAGTGGAGAGCGTGTGTTGTTGGGGTGCCTATGCGTCTGTCCTTCCTGCTTGCCTCTGCTGACTCTGAACCCATGTAAGATCCGTGCACTCAAGGACACGCTTCTGAAAGCTCTCCCCAGTACACAGGCACCGTCACACAATCAACAGCAGTTGTCGCTGTTGAGAGCAGGTTTCTGTATGATTTTGGGCCCTGGGGTCTGTGTGACACAGGGTGCTGTAATAGGTGCGGATTTTAGAACCTGATTCTCACCCTTTGCCCATTGGCCACATGGCATGAGGTAGGCTGCCTGTGGCTTATCTGTGAAACAGGAGTATCTCCCTCTCAAGAGTTTTCCAGGTTCTAAATAATAACACCCAGTACCTAGAATAGTCGTCAATAATTGTCATTATTATCAGTGGTAACAACCACCCCTGGAGATGGAGAAAATGAAAACGTAAGCTCACCAGAGCATCTGGAGAAGGAACCATAAAAACCGTCCACCTCTGAACAGACGAGTCAGGCGAGGGTGAGACTAAGAAAGGAATGGTTCCCTGTGTCTACCAGGCACTAACACACATTGGGTGGAATGTTGATGGGCGTTCCTAGCTTGTCTGGGGTAGGGAAGCGATTTCAAGTATGTTTTGTTTGAGCAAAGGGAAAGAAAGGCGCGGGAATCTGGGCTGGAAGGGCTCCATGCACCAGTACAGCGCCTTCTAGAACAACTGTGAGGTCGCAGGGCTGCAGGTTTACCGGGATCTGTGATTGTCCTTTCCTTTTGCCCACAGATAACTGTGTCCAGAGGACGCCCAGGCCGCCTGCAGAGAGTGTGCACCACAACCCTCCCACCATTGAACTGTTACATCGCCCTAGGTCACCCATCACCACAAACCACAGGCCTTCTCCTGATCCCGAGCAGCGGCCCCTGCGGTCCCCTCTGGACAACATGATCCGCCGCCTCTCTCCTGCTGAGAGGGCCCAGGGGCCAAGGCTCCAGCAGGAAAACAACCACCAGGAGTCCTACCCCCTGTCAGTGTCTCCTATGGAGAATAACCACTGCCCACCAGCCTCGGAGTCCAACCCGAAGCCCTCCAGCCCCTGGCAGGAGAGCCCGCGGGTGATCCAGCTGATGCCCAGCCCCATTATGCACCCCTTGATCCTGAACCCCCGGCACTCGGTGGATTTCAAGCAGTCCCGGCTCTCGGAAGATGGAATGCATAGGGAAGGGAAGCCCATCAACCTGTCTCATCGGGAGGACCTCGCTTACATGAACCACATCATGGTCTCCGTGTCCCCACCCGAAGAGCACGCCATGCCCATTGGGAGAATAGCAGGTGAGTAAGCTCAACCCTCTCACCACCCAGAGGAAGCTGCTCAGCTCACACCACTCCCGGTGCGGTGTGCCAGCCAAGGTCTGGGGAGGACAGTGATGCTTCTGCCTGCCTGAGACAGAGTCCCTAATGGCCTGGTTAATGAGCCACTGGGAAGGGAGGAGTTAATGAGCCTCAGAAATGGTAAGGAAGGAATGTCCTCCATCCAGCTCACAAGGAGAGTCACCTTAGAATCACAGCCAAGTGCAAACCTTTAAAATCAAAGGTTTATGAGTGCTCTAATGGCCCCATCCTGAAGTTTCCAGGCACTAATGAATGGCCAGACACAGTGTAAAGAACCTTTGTCTCAGATTGGTGCCTCTAATTCTGTCCTAAGGACAGTGACTCAATGCTGCTTTCCCCTTGGGAAAGGAGATGAGATTGAGATTGGTTGGGGTGTTAGTAGGCAGATGTTGCTAGTCATTTAGACAAAGGAACCCCATTCCCAGATTCTTTCAGTTATGTAGGCAGGCACAAATGGCTCTCCTAGTAAGAAACCGAGGAAGATAGGTAAGAATCCACCAGTTAGAGTTTTGCTAGCCTATCCACAGTTTGCATGGAGTTCTCCAGAAGGCTTGTTTGGAAAGGTGAGGTCTTTTTGTAGAGGGTGTCTCTCCCTTCATGAGACATCATGGAGTACCTGCGATGTATCGTATACAGCACAGACTTAACACACGGCATCATCTCCCTTGTAGAGTTGTGAGTTTAGTGGCAGAAGCACACGTGGGTACCATCAAGGGACAGGGCAGAACGGTCCCAGCTTTACTCCTTATTCATGCAGGTGCTCATCGAGGACCTTGTGTATGGCAAAGGGGGTAAGGGGTGCAAAGCAGCTCTATTTGGATGGAGGAGCCAGGGGGCTTCACAAGAGATGGAGAGAATGGGAAATATGCGGCCATGCTTCCCCGGAGTCAGGGCAGAGGCCTAGTAAATGGCTACTTCCTTGTCGATGTGGCCGCTGCCCACCCATATGTGGCAGTTCCCAACAGAAGGCCTGCTTCACCTCTGCCTTGACTTTTGTCTCTTTGGGTTTTTTTAAATCATTGGTTTCTAGATTATTTTTTCCTGGCCCCCAAGTATACCTCCACTATTGCCTCGGATTTTTCACTGTGAATAATTTACATCAAAGTTGCTGAATTAAGAAAATAAAATGGAGAGGCTGGGGAGATAGCTCAGTCAGTAGAGCACTCTGTAGGCTGCAGTCCCCGGGGGTGTGGTATGCACTTGCAATCCCAGAGCTAGGTGGGTAGAGGCATGCATTTTCCTGGGACTTGCTGGCCAACAAGCTGTTCTACTTGGCCAGCTCCAGACCAGTGAGAGACTGACCCTTTCTCAAAAGACAAGGTAGACAGCACCTGAGGAGCGACACCCAAGGTTGTTGTTCTTTGGTCCACAAATGCACACATGCTCAAGCACACACACGCACACGCACACAGAACAAAAGAAAATGCATACTGAAAGTGTAGCTCAGTAGCAGAATGCTTGTTCGGCATTCATAAAATGCCAAGGTTTGATTATCAGAGCCACAGCAGCCACAGTGAAATGACAACTATCTAGACTTGCTTGTTTAAAAAGAAAAAAACAAAAGCTATGAAACTTGGCGTGTGCTTGGGATTAAATTCGAAGCAGTCCTGCAGGTTTAGTGATGGGGAGGTGTGGGTTGTGCAGTGAAGTGAGGTTAGCCATGAGGTATTTGGTGGCTGTCTGTGTGACTAGAGGCATGGGGTTCGTATCATTGTTCTACTTATCCATGAGATTGGCTTTAATAATGAAGACACTGCAGGGCTGGTGGTCAGGGAGCAGACACAGGAAAAGTCCTATGGAAACATGGATCTTCTCAGACAGCTGGGGGAAAGGACGAGGCAGAACTGCTGAGGGATGGAAACCTAGCTGCGTGCTGTCTTGGCTCGTCCCCTGCATGGTGTTCTCAGACCCTGTTGCGTGTGTAGAATTCTCAGGACAGCCCTTGGAGGTTGAAGCCCTTTGATGTCCCTGGGTCATTTGTACAGAGGAAACCACAAAGAAGAGCCAGCTCCAAAGAGACCAAGGCTTTCCCCAAGGCCAGATGAGGTTGGGTGGCCTTGCTGTCCCTTGGCTGTTGCCTGCAGTACTGTCCTTGAGGGCCTGGCTGCCATGTCAGGGTTTTTCATGTCTGCTTTCATCTCACCACAGACTTCTTGCGAATCTTAAGATAAGCATATAAGTCCAGAAAGACAGCATACATGAGAGGAGGGGGAGGGGGGGTGAAGGAATTGTCTAGACACACAGTGTGCCTTCCCCTTAAAAGTTGCACATCTGTCTCGTTGAATTCTACCACTGCTTTTAAAACCATATACTCAAACATCAGTGGTGTAATGGGCATAGGCTCATCAGTTAAGACGCAACTGGAGAGCCACCTAGACGTCTTACAAAGACAGAGTACCACATTCATCTCTCATCTGTGGGTCTTCGACTTCGTGTATATTCTTAAACTCATATAGGTACAGGCATGAAAGTATAAGAAACTGTGTAGGATGACAAAGGAAATGAGCAGGAGGGGGAAGAAAAGGGAGGTAGCAGGTATGGTGGGCTACGCGCGAGTACATTGTATACTTGCGTGAAACTAGCCGTATGCTACCTGCTATAATACAGATAAAGGAAACCGCGTGGAATATTCAGTCAAGTGATGAACCTTGGTATCCACAGATGCTTTGGTGGAGAACACTTCAAGCTGGTCTCTGCTTTTTCTTGGATCTAGGAAGACAGAATGTTCTGGAAGATAATAGTAGGGCCAGATCTTCCAGAGACAATGCAGTCTTTCCTACAGTATGACTGAGTCCCATACAAATACGTATTCGCGTTAAAATCTTTGTAAATGTTGTAAAGTCTCTAAATACATACATAGCCTACCATACCCAAGTTCCGGGTGAGCCATTTTAACTGACAGGCACTGTTTTTCTCAGGGGTGAAGTGCGGGGTCAGGTTGGGTGGTCACTGAGGTCCCTTCAGTCTGACAGTGAGTCTTAATTCTCCAGCCCTCCGCAGAGGCTGCTGACAGCCCCACACTACTTTTCCCCTTTGGAGGATCCCCCTACCTGTATCCCCCAACCCTCTGTCTTTCTGGACTCCTAAGATCTTAGTAAAAGTGATTCTGTTTATTGAAGGTCAACTTCTGTGAGTTACTGCTGTTTATACTGTAAGATTCTGTCTCCTGAGCAGCCATGGACGCCTTTAGATGTCTGCAAAGCTGCTCTTAGATGAGAAAGCATCGTTCCTTGAAGCCCTTTAATTGAGCACAGCACAGGAAGAAATGAAAGTGCTGCCAAATGTCACACTGATGAGTAACTTAGCTGGAGGGTGTAGACAGAAACACTACTTACAAATGTAGAGCAAAACACAAGCCCAGATTCTCACTGCTCAGATATGATTGGCTTGGGTGTAGGAGGATGTAGGCATTCAGACACCTAAGAGGGCTCTGGGCTGCATTCTTGCAAGGTGTGAGTTCCCAGAGGCATAAGACTCAGTCTTTGACATGAAGAGCCATGCGCATTCACTATAAAACTAAAGCATGAGGCTCGCAGGTTCTTATAACTACTGAGGACCACAGAAGGTCCAGGTTGCCTTTCAGATCAGCTTAAAAGGATGCTCAAGGGGCAGGAGGTGGGGGCCATGCCTTTAATCCCAGCACTCAGGAGGCAGAGGCAGGCGGACCTCTATGGGTTCATGACCAGTCTCGTTTTGAGACCTTGTCACAAAATACTTTTTTTTTTTTGAGACAGGGTTTCTCTGTGTAGCTTTGGAGGCTGTCCTGGAACTCGTTCTATAGACTAGATTGGCCTCGAACTCATAGAGATCCACCTGCGTCTGCCCCCCCCCCAGTGCTGGGATTAAAGGCGTGTGCCACCAACACCCAGCTTAAAATACAATATTTAATAATAAAATAAAAGTACTGCTTGGACTATGGCAAGTAAAGAAAAGGAGGCCATTCTAGATGGAGAAAACTCAGGAGCAAATACTAGATACAAAGACCCATGTTCTCTCCTATTTCTAGTAGAGATGTGGGTCATGAGCTCAAGTCTGTGAGACAATTGAAAAATCCCTTTGCACAAACTCTTCTGAAAAAGGAAATTGATGGATTAAATGCAAGTTAAATCTACTTAAATATAAGGTGTTTTTAATTGTTATTTTGAAAATCACAAGAGAGGTTGTTACTAAGAGTTTTAACATGTTGGGGTGCTGGGAGTGTACCTCAGAGGTGGCGTGCCTATGTAGTTCGTACAAAGCTAGTTTAAGAAGTCAGAGTATTCACGGTAGAAAATTTCACAGGACAGATTCCTGGGTCCTGCTTTTATTGACCAGTCCATGGGTTATATTACATTGGGTTTCTTTCCTTCTGTATTTCCTACTGTCTGCCTGTCTTCAGGGAGGGCTTGGGGAGGCTAATAGGAAGAATCTGTCAGTCTCCTCCAACTTTTTCCCACATGCAGAAGAAGGCTTGTGGTCTGCTTCCCGCCAGTGAGTTTCAGAAGCATCGAGTGTATTGTAGGCAGATGAAACTGACATCGAGTGGTGCTGGGGGATAAGTTCCCAATATGTACAGTAGCCCCCACCATTAGCTGCAGCTTCAGTTATATTACATGGAAAACTCTGGAAATTAGCTATTTTAAATAACTCACTATAAAGTGTCATTGCAACTGTAATCTTTGGTTTATTGATTACTTTGTTGGTGTCCTATATGTAATCTATAAAGCAAACACCATCCTAGGCATGCACATATAGGAAAAGATAACCCTGTATGTTGAGTGTGTATTGACTCAGAACCATGATTCCAGGGATCCACTGCAGGCCTTGGAAAATGTCCCCTGTGGATGCACACCATGCTTTCTGGGTTGGAGTCCCTTCTTAGGACTAGATGGGTTCACTAGAAGTGCCTTCCCCAGGTAAAAATCAGTAATGCAGCCTCAAGCCTGTGTCCCCAGCCTACC